ACAGACTTTACTATACGTTCGTTTAAACACATTTTAATCAACCTAACTAGTTTCATGGGTATCCCAAACTCTATCAGAATATTGTACAATACTTCCCTCTTAACTGAATCATAGGCTTCTTGAAGTCTATGAATAGCTGATGTACTGTCTCATCGTACTCCCATTTTTTCTCCAATATCTGACGAATGCAAAAGATCTGATCTGTGGTTGATCTTCTACGTCAAAACCCACACGGATGAGCCCCAATAATTTAATATATATATGGACTTAACCTTGAGAGAAGAGTATTGGAAAAATTTTGTATGAAGTTGATAGCAGTGATATTCCTCGATAATTACTACAGTCAGTTTTATCACCCTTCTTGTGAACTGGTACAATAATAGACTCCTTCCACTGCTCAGGCAATTTTTCCTTAGGCCAAATAGAAGTAATTAGATTGTGTATCTTAGAATGTAATATTTTGCCTCCTGCTTGAATAAGTTCTGCCAGAATTTGATCACTACTTGGCGATTTATACAGTTTCAATTTTGCAATAGCACTTTCAGCCTCAAAAGGGCTAGGATCAGGTACTGATGGCTCAGCTCTATGGATTTCTGTCTGCTTAACATCACTGATCCTATGTACATTCAGTAACAGATAAGTAGTTCCTCCCTCTATTCAAAATGTTGTGGGAACCTGCAAGCAGATCACCATTCTCATCCTTCACCAAGTTACTGCTATACAGGTCTCTAATGTTCTTGTTCTTACTGTTCATTGCAAGTTCATCAGTTTTGTCTTTCAGATATTCCCTTTTTGTTCCTGAAAAGCCTGCTGGTTTCACATCTTATATTGTTCAGATTATCCCCATTTAACTTGCTTGGATCCTGTAACCATTGCAATTTGGCCTACTTTCTTTGATCTAATAATTTTGAGCATCCTTCATTGAACCATGGTTTATGCTTCTTCGGTTCACAATAACCTAGACTCTCTTTGGCAGACATCTTTATATTCTCTCTAATAGTTTCCTAAGCTTTGTTAACATCGACCTCAGTTTCCAAGTTTTCCAAAGCCGCAAACCTATTTGAGATTTCAACACAATACTGCTCTTTACCCTCTACCTCATTTAAATTCTTTAGATTGAACCTCTCCATACGAACTCCATGTGTTGTTTGTTTGTTCACTGCCAGCCTTTCCCTAACCTTTGCCACCACCAGGTAGTGGTCAGTATCACAATCTGCTGCCATGAATGATCAGACATCAAGTATACTTGAGTGCCATCTCCTATCTATCAAAATATGATCTACTTGATTGTGTATCTTCCCATCAGGAGATGTCCAAGTAAATTTATGGATGTTATGATGTGGGAAGATCGTACTTTTGACAGTAAGATTTTTTGATGTGGCAACGTTTACTACTCTAACTCCATTATCATTACTAATTTCATGCAAACTCTCATTCCCAATCGTTGGTTTGAAAATAACTCGTAACTATAACACTGCTGCTAATCTACACATTTAACAAATCTCTACAGCACACTCTCAGTCTAAGTCTGCTGTAGTCTTCACTACTTACTGCTTGGTCACAAATCCCAACAATGGAGATTCTCCTACATACATACATACATACATACATACATACATCAGCGTTTCAGAGTATTCATAAGTGTGCAACTGGCACCGAATATAAAACTTTTCAAACAACAGTCACAAGACAATCGCAGAGACATCAATTCAACCATAGTTAAAATCTAAACTGAGTACCCCAATTAAATAGATACAATGTTACACATACAATTATACCAACAAGATAATTAGCAATACATAATAATTCTCCTTCCTTAACTTACACTTATACTTAATGTCTATATTAATGCCTACTGCGGGGCATGCATCAGTCAGCATGCACTCCCCTTCTATTCCTTAGCTGTTGATCCCGACAGAAGAGCAAAAATTCATCAACAGTATATGACGGATTATGTATTAGGACATCTCTAATTACTTTTATAAACTGTTTTTTATCATGTACTAAATTAGTTAAATAATCAGGCAGACTGTTAAATATTTTTATATTTATTTTTATACAGGTTTGAAAACAGACACACTTGTGGATTATAGGTAGCAAACTATGAAAGAGAACTCATGAGACAGTGTATGGAAAACCAGAACAATATAATGTAAGTGAAAAATAATACTGCTATAGAATTGCAATATGCAGTTCAAAAATTGAGGAACAAGTGATCATAATATATTTTCACGAAAAGTTACACAGGCTGATGTGCATAAGCAACACAGCCTAACTGTCCAGTTAGTCTGAAATATGTAGGGTTCAGTAAAGGAATACAAAGAAAGAATGCTCACATACGTACGTCGTTGCCAGCTGGCTACCATCTCACAAGTCACAACTTATTCATAATGGTGGCTGAGTTGCAGAGTGAGTGTCCCCTCTATATAATTTCACCGGGGACAACAGAGAAAACACAATTTCCAACAATTTTTCCATCACTGCATCACACATTCACTGTTGCAGAAACTTTTTTATCTGCCATCACCTAGCAATTGCCATCTCTTCTTTTCCGCCTTTAAGGTGTCATGTCACAATATTTTTATGTGTGATGAATCAACTGCATTCAATAAATCTTTATACCCATATTCAGTTATGTTCTACACCAGAGATTCCGAACCTTTTGCACCTTGTGTTCAACTGGTCATTTTGTTGAATGACTGAAGTCCCACCACAGTAAAAACAAAGCATTTCTCCAATAAGTGAATTTTTATAATTATGCATATTTTAGTATTATATTAATCAATAATACAAGTTATAATTTTCACACCTCACATCCCAGTGAGTGACCAACAAGTCCCACAAACTGAGAAACACTGTTCTACACAAGTTACATGAGATTCATCCAAATCTGTATTCCCATTCACCATTTCTTTCATGCCGCCCACTATATAATGATACCACATACCTATTAAGGTGGAATCAATCAGAACATACCTGAGAAAGCAATTTTTTGAATGATATTCCCATAGTGTGAACCAACGAACATTACAAAGAATTCTTTCCAGACAGGGGAACTGTTTCCCAGCCACTTGGGAAACACGGCATCACGGACTGAAGGGCCCATACACTTTCTCATTTCAACCAAATCAGACCACAGATCACGCAGAAGTTTCTTTAGTGTTTGTCTTGCCACCGGCCAGGTTTGCGGAATGGCTCTTTCATCAATTTCGACTTGCCTCAGTACCACTGACACAAATACCTACACAGAGAAAACAAATGATTATTGCAAACAAAGTAACAGTCATTAAACATAAGTTTTTCTTAACTTGACAGATGTTCAATACAAATCCAATGAATATACTCATATTTCTGACAGCATCAAGGAGACACAGTAACTGGTACCAAAATTTCTTGTTCAGCTCATGCAAAGGCTTAAAAAATGTGATGGTGCAGGATAAGTTCTACAATGTAGGCCCATAAAAAGAAAAAACCATGAGTTAGAGCTAAGGGTCTAGAGGGCCTTAATTTAGAGCTTCCATGGGCAACCCATCTTCAGAAAACATTTACATCCTGTTAGACATTCCCCACAATGTGTTTAACCTAGAATCATCTGCCTGTGTTTCATCAGGTACCAATATAAATTTCTAGAATAATTTTGGCTGTTAAAAACAAGTTTTAAACTGTAACATTGGAAATGTGTCAAACATGAAAATTGCATCCAATGGTGGCATGGTTTTGAGCCATTCTCAGTTCAATTTTTATCTGTGCAGCCACTAGCCCTTCTTCACTTGCATGATGTATCTCTGACCTCCCCTCATCACTAATGCCATGCATTACCGCCTCCTTTTCAGCCAATCATTCGTCATCCTGTGGTTGTTCATGGCGTGCTGTCTCAAGAATTTTTTAATTTTGGTATTATTCCTTCTTTAAAGTTTTAGGTACTCTGTATTGTGGTACTGACAAGGAAAGCAAACATATTGCAGGCAAAGACAGGTACTTCTGCTAATGGCATGTAAATTTCCATCAGTGTCCCATGTTGTACCTGCTCTTAATTGTGTGACAGCAAAAAGTGGAACGCTTGGTATAAATCATGGGTGATCATAATGAGGAGATATGTTCTGCAGTGTCAGATGTTGAGAGATGTGCATCCCAGAAGAAGGTTATTTGATGTCGTCCTGTGGTTGTCCGTGGTGTGCTGTCTCAAGAAAGACAGGTGGCACAAGTTTGTCCCCCATCAAGAGAGGTGATAAGAGAGAGGACACAAACCTATTTGGTTTATAAATTCTAACTTAAATAACAAAAGTTTTAAAAAATTTTAATATATCAATATATATGTGAAAACTTTGGATTTTATATCCATTTGTGTACTGTCAACATTGTATGTATATAGTATAACTGAAAATTCGGAACACCCATTGTAATAGTGGTCTCCAAACTGTATCGATGTCCCTCTGATGATGGTCTCTAAGGACCGAAACATGTAAGGGCATGAAGAATTGAAATAAGAAAAACTTCACCAGTCACAGTGGATGGAATTGTTGTATCTTTTATAACATTTATAATGTTTCATCTGGTCACTCAGGAATAGCTTGCAGTTATAATATTTAGCCTGACCAATCAAAAGTAAATAACATTCATGACATTTTGCCTGGTCAACCAGAATAGATGGCATTTACAAATTTTTGAACTGCAGTGCAATTGTTGATTTCTTCCTCATGCTTCGTAACTAGCAATTCAAAATTCATGGCATAGCTGGAATGCACATCTCAACATCTGAAACTGCAGAACCTGTCTCCTCATTATGATCACCCATGATTTATACCAAGCGTTCCACTTTTTGCTGTCACACAATTAAGAGCAGGTACAACATGGGACACTGATGGAAATTTACATGCCATTAGCAGAAGTACCTGTCTTTGCCTGCAATATGTTTGCTTTCCTTGTCAGTACCACAATACAGAGTACCTAAAACTTTAAAGAAGGAATAACACTAAAATTAAAAAATTAAAGATCAGTGCCATGCTTAAAGGAATAGAGACTGGGAATAAGGATTCAAACCATACTGAAAAACCTCTACCAAAATTTTAACTTCATTCATTCTGGTCCATCACACTAGTCAATATTATAGAATGATTTGACAAGACTGTCCAGTGTGACTCAAATGTATATTTATATACATGATGATGCCTTTACATGTTTTGATCAATTAATGACCATCTTCAGAAGGCAAATAACCACACGCTGAGGAAAGTATTATGACATAAATCATAGTACATCATGTTCAAAGTTGTCCAAGGTTTTATATAATGATTTTAATAAAGCTAAAATGCAGTGAGTTAAAATAGTAATAAATATTAAAAACCTTAAACCGCTAAGGTTCATGTCCTCGTGCCCTTTCTATCGATGGGAGATTCGGTAAATTCCTGTCCTTGGAGGTCCAGGCAGTGTTTTTTTTTCTTCTTAATATAGTTGGTTTAAGAGTTTGTGTTCGTTGTTAAGCTGTTAGTCCTTTCGTTGTTTGTTGATGCACTGCCACAATGCTTGTACATTGATTTAAGAGCCATGGCCACCATACATACTGACAAGAATACTAAGTGAATTTCATATTATCTTTAGGTGTTCTGTACTAGGTCCACATTAGGAAATGGAAAACAGACAGCAAGTTACACTTCTGTACACATTATACAACTCAATATAAAACTGGAAGCCAGTATGTCTAAAGAAAGGAGTTCATACTGTAAATTCTGATAAAGGCAGATATTCAATACAAAAAGATCAGAGCAGGGAGACATTCATATATGGACTTACAAGCAAGCCTTCCATTTTCTGTGGTTTATCCGTTTCAGCGAATGAACAGTTGTGTGCAATACCAACGTAATAGCTCATAAGGAAAAGTTGTGTGAAAGTTGTCACGATCTGCTGGGCATGAATAATACTTCCAAACTCCACAGTGGCTTCTGGATCTGAGCAAAATGGAGCCACTACCCAAACTATAAAAGGGATCACATCAATTACTTACAGCACTTTGGAGCATGGGAATGAAATGCTAACATCTGCAGCACTGAATTCAATTTCAGTCATAGCCCCACTTCGAAAAATAATGTATCATCCTTTGTGCTTCCAAAATACATCTATGAACTCCTGCCAAATTCTAGGAATATTTTGAACTATGTCAGTTCATAATTTGGCCACAGTGTATTATAGAAATAAGGACTGTATCCATCACCTGTTTACATCAACCTGCTGCCTGCATACATACATACATACACAATTTCTTCTAAGTGAGGGTATCTTAGAATCCACTGGTAAAAGATTTTCACATTTCAATTTTAGTGAAGTAACAGTGGGCCTAGTAGAAAGCATAGAACAACTGCTAACATTTTTCCTGTACTTGGGAGCTACCAGAATCCTTACAGATAGCTCAGTCAGTATAGTCACTAAGCTAAGGCCAGGATGACTGGGGTTAGATTCTATGCAGGAGCAAAGATTTTTCTCTTCATCACTGCAAGCAGACTTGTTCTGAACCAAATCAGCCTCTTTATGGGTGTTCCTTCCCCAGCAATAAATCAGCTGAGGTGTCTAAGGTGATCACTCACCTCAATCTAGGGCCAAGGTTAAGAAAGCACAACTTTACCTTCACTTTCACATATTAAAATCACAAGACGGTAGAATTCCACTTCAGTTGGTCTGAATAAGTACAATAATAAAATACAGAATATCATTTGGGCTTACAAGTCACACTGCAATGGTACACACATATGGTCCAGCTGTTGCAGTGTACAATTACCCTGAGCACACATATGGTCCAGCTGTTGCAGTGTACAATTACCCTGAGTAACAATTCAGCTGTCAACGCCCACAGTAGCAAAGAATTTAAATTTGCTAATCCTGGATAAAAAGGGTTAATGTGTCTCTTCTCTGCTATTTGAACTCATGAACCCTAATACTCACATGTAACTCATATGTAAGCAGACACAGGATAATAATATTAAAAAGATATCTTAGAGAGCGATAGGCTACAAGCACGCATACTAAATTGGACTGGCACAAGACAGGGCACAATGGCACACTTTTGGGAACATTATAATCCTTCATGTTCCATGACAGTGAAATTCTTGATCAGATGAGCAACTATCATTGTGTCTCCATTACATCATACTGCAACAGACTATAAAGAAGTGACATACTATTACAGTGGAACCTCACTTAATGAGCACCTCTCATAATAAGTAATTCGCATAACGAGCAAAACAAATGACTCGCTTAACGAGAGACGTTTCACATTACAAGTGATGAGAGGGGAAGTCCTGGATTGTGCGCTTGCTACATCAGTCTGTGTTTAGCACTCGTTCTGCTAGAATCTTAGTGTCGATTGTGATCACACATTTTTCCAAACTTGTGTTCAGACATATTATTTGTGATTATTTTGTGCAAAGTTTAATAACCCTTGCAAAAATGTCCCTGAAGAAAAAGCTACAAAGACAGCCATAAGAGAATAAAAATAACCGTAGAAATGAAACATAAAATCAGTGAAAAGCGAGAACGAGGTGTGAGTGTGGCTGATCTAGCTCGCACATACAATTGGTCTACATCAACGATTTGCACGATTTGGAGTTGCATTGTGTTTCACAGCAAGAAGTTCTGGAGAGTTTGTCAGAGGAGGAGGAGGAGGTAACAGCAAAGCAACAATCTTCTGGCACAATAAGAGAAATGCTGAAAGCATGGGAAACTGTTGCATCGTACATTGAGAAGCATCACCCTAATATGGCAGTGGCTATGCGCGCTACAAATTTATTTAATGATAATGCTGTGTCGCATTTTCACCAAATTTTGAAGCGCCAGCAAAAACAAATGTCTCTAGATGGCCTTCTAGTAAAAAAGAATTAGATATGTATCATAAATAATAAACTAATTATTTCGATTTTTTTTTTCTACAAATCGAATTCACATTCCAGGTTGGTTCATCCCGCATAGAAGAAAAGATGAAGATGATTCACTCTCCTTAACAATGTATGTATAATTTTCTTTGAATAAACGTTATACATAACATTTTTTTTTTTGGCATGGAACGCATTATCGTATTTTACATTAATTTATATGGGAAAAATTGTTTCACATTATGAGTAAGATTCTGGAACGAATTATGCTTGTTAAGCAAGGTTCCACTGTACTTACTGTTTTACATTCCACAGTATGTAAGCAAATACCAAAGTAGTCAAACAATTAGCATTCCCACTTCACATCTGAAATGTCCTGTTTTCAAATAATGGCCTGGAGACAGACCACACTGAACTTTTTCTGTGGTTCTGCTCAGTTTACCCAGGTAAATGCTAGATTAAATTAGGTCATGATCATTTCCTTCCACACCCATTCCTATTCACTATTCAGTAATCATCCTATTACTTGACGCTATATAATGTGAGCTATTGGAAGCATCATTACATAAACCAATACAAGAACACAATTCTATGCAAAATATCTTTGAGGGTACATCATACTCTATGCTACCTTTTGGAAGGGAAGTCCCATGCGCTCAACAAGTCTCTTGGTATAGCAGAACTGGTTCCTATTGTTAAGATGAAAACAAAACTGAGAAACTTTGTGATACTAATGTAATGATCTGTGTCATTACAATGATTACACCCTTTCAGAGATGTTTCCATATAATGAAGCAATTTATATTCATTAGGTTGGCAATGCTTTATTGCATCTACATGCAGGCAGGTTCCGTATGCAGGTTTCTTTGTTAAGAGTGACCACGGTAAACAATGACTGACCAAGCCAACCAATTCCATGGAGCTCAGTCTTTCTTGAGAAGCCACAAGTCGCTCAGCTACTCAAGAATTTCTCAACATTTTTTGGAACCCAAAGGTTCATTACCATGCTCACAAGAGCCTGCAACAGGTCCCAATCCTACAGCAAGATTAATCCAGTCAATATCAGCCCATCCTATTTCTCTATGATCCATCTGAATATTATCTTCTCACCTACATCTAGGTCCTCCTAATAGTCTCTCCTTTTGGCTTTCCCACCAAAACTCTGAATGAATTCATCTTCTCCTCAAACATACTACATGCCCTACCCATCTCATCCCCCTTGACATGATCATTCTAATTGTAATTGGCAAAGCATACAAATTATGAAGTTCGTCATTATGCAGTCTTCTCCAGCCTTCTATCACTTCATCCCTGTTTGGCCTGAATATTCTCCTCAGCACCCTGTTCTCAAACACCCTCAGTACATGTACCTCCCTTAATGTCAGACACCAAGATTCCGAACCATACAGAACAACAGGTAAAATTATAGTTTTGTACATTTTAATTTTTATGTTTCTAGACAGCAGATGAGAAGACGAGGTTTTGAACTGAATGGCAGCAAGCATTACAAAAGTTTAACGCACTCTTAGTTTCCTCATCAATCAAATTTTGATTTGCTGCTGTTGCTCCAAAATATCTGAACTCTGCCTCATTTTCAACATTTGTTGATATGATGGCTCAAAACTGGAATAGTGGAACAAGAAGATATGGCTACTGCGAGGCAATCACACAGTAAACACAATTTTGTAGTAACGAATAAACACAAAAGAAAAGAGAAAACGTTGGATTTGGTGTTTTCTATGCAGTCCATCATGGCTATATAACAAGGACAGAAACTGAAAGTTAGCTGTCAGTCACCACTCGTAGTTTGTGGTTAGCCATGAGCATGGAAGCAGAGGAATGTCCATTGTTAGAAGCGGCTAACTAGCTATGACTATTGAAGCCATAACAAACCAAGAAGACTTAGAATGTGCTGTAATGAGGAGCTGCACAACTCCCAGAGTTGTACAGACTCAGTACCAGAAATGACCATGCTGGCAAGAGCCAGCAGCAATTTACCCAAGGCTAATGAGTGTGCTGTAGTGATTTGTACTGTGTGTAGATTAGTGACAGTGTTACAGTTACCTGTAGTCACAAGTCATATGTATTTAATAGATCCAATTATAAATACAAACATCCATGTCTAGTAACTAATATGTGACAATATACTTAGTTTTCTTTGCCTTCACTTCAAGACCAACCTCTTAGTTATATATTCTTTGTATTTTAGTTATTTAGTTAAGTTGTTAATTTTGTTATTAAGTTTATTATAATGTTTGCTTGCTTCATCATTAAATCTTTGATTCACGTTATTTTCTATTATAAACCAAGTAGTCTGCCAATACTGTCCATTTCTCGGATCTAATTTGTATAATTGTTGATAGAGATATTGGGTTTTCGGACTTTATCCATCGTTCTGGTTTTAAGATAACTAAGAAAAGCACGACGTTTCGGAAACTGGATCTGTTTCCGTCCTCAGGTGAGGGATAACACCTATTCTATTGGGTCCCTTAGAAAGAGCTAGCCTCAATCACTGGACAGTGATTGAGGCTAGCTCTTTCTAAGGGACCCAATAGAATAGGTGTTATCCCTCACCTGAGGACGGAAACAGATCCAGTTTCCGAAACGTCGTGCTTTTCTTAGTTATCTTAAAACCAGGACGATGGATAGAGTCCAAAAATCCAATATCTCTATGTGTTATACACCATCGTCAGAATCCTATTAAATAATTGTTGATGTTTTGTTTCTTAGCATATAAATATTTTATCTCATTATTCATTCTTAGTTTAGTTACTTGTTTCTGGGTTTGTCTTATGGCACTATCTGTGCCCTATATAGTTACTTTGGCATATTTAGGTATGATGTTTCTGTTTTGACATGTTCGATTAAACCATATGTGTGTGCTGGTTCTCAGTAGTTTCCTTTTCATGTTGATATATTGATTTACCAGTCTTGCCTGAACTGCTTCAATAAACTTAAACTGGTTCATTCTGGTCCATCATAGTAGTAGTTGTATATAAGATTTTTAACCACCATCCAGTGTGATTAATAAAAGTTGTATTTTTCATCCTTTACACACACTTTGGTCAAAATGACCATCTTCAGGATATTATCAACACATATGGAAACTACTATTACAATGTCATAGATATATTACATCTTTCAATTAAATCTAAGATGTGCCGGTCATGGTAGCCAAGCAGTCTAAGGCGTGCAATGTCTTCGCTCGCTCGGAAGCCAGGATCGTGGGTTCAAATCCCACTCAGGGCATGGATGTTTGTGTGCGCTTTTCTGTGTCTGTGTACAGGTAGAGGCCTTGTGACGAGCTGATCACCCGCCCAAGGAGTCCTACCGTATGTCTAAGATCTAGGAAAACCGAAGTGAACGGAGAAGTTCATGGAGGTAGGCCTAGGCCCAATGGGGCTGTAGTGCCAAGGAACAAAAAAATCTAAGATGTACAGTGATTTGTTAAAACATCCAAAAATTATTATAATAGGTCTGTTTACAAAGTGTTTACCAGTGTGATGGACCAGGATGAACCAAGTACGTTTCTATGATTTAATATCCAAAATAACTAAATCATTTATCAAAAGGATCAACTGTCCACAGTTGCAAACACTCACCTTTGTAACAGTGGTCCAACATTTTCTCAAAATACTTGCATCCCAATTGTCTTAGGGCCTGAATATAGTCTCTGAGAAAAGAGCCCAAAGTGTTAAGCATATCCAGGGCACACCTAAAACGGACTATGGTTGTCCACTCACAAAACATATCGATCGTCATCTGAAACCATACATCCATTTTAAACAGAGAGAAGACAAAGATCATGATCATCCAGGATGTGATGCCACATAGTCTGGTAGGTACGCACCCATCCACCACCTTATATGTTGTCACATACCGGAAGACTGTAATCTGAATTTTCCAAGGTCTTAGTGTCAAAAATGTCAAATCCATGCAGGTTCCTGTGATGCCTGGGTCAAAAAAATTAAACCTTTACAAAAAATGTTATTTCAGATGACATGTTCCATCTGCTAGAATTTTACCTGAACTTATTTACTTACTCATAGAGCTGAGCCTTCTGGAGGCGCCACTAATTCTGCAGCTACTCAAGAATTTCCCAGCATTTTATGGAACCCGAAGGTTCATTACTGTGTTCACAAGAGCCCTCCACTGGTCCCTGTCCTGAGCTAGATCTATCCAATCCATACCATCCCATCCTATCTCTCTAAGATCCATTCTAAAATTGCCCACCCACCTATGCCTTGGTCTTCCTTCTGACTTTCCCACCAATATCCTATACGCATTCCTAGTCTCCCCCATTCCTGCTACATGACCTCCCCACCTCATCCTCCTTGACTTGATCATTCTAATTATACTTGGAGAAGAGTACAAGTTATGAAGCTCCTCATTATGCAGTTTTCTCCAACCTCCTGTCAGTTCATCTCTCTTCGGTCCAAATATTCTCCTCAACACCCTGTTCTCAAACACCCTCAGTCTATGTTCCTCCCTTAATGTCAGAGACCAAGTTTCACACCCATACAGAACCACAGGCAAAATTATAGTTTTGTATATTCTAATTTTTATGTTTTTGAACAACAGACAAGAAGACAAAGGGTTCTGGACTGAAGATAGCAAGCATTACCCGAGTTCAATCGCCTCTTAATTTCCTCCTGAATCAGGTCTCAATCTGTTATCGTTAGATAAAAAAATATTTTAAGGGAATTATTTTTCACACATTTATACTTCTTAAGGAGTGTTTATAATACTATTTACCAACGAAGAAAACAACCTAAAGTGAAACTATGAAACTGAATGATGCTGATAGAACTGAGATTACTGTGGAACAGGAAGTGTGCTCTGTGGTGATACTGAACATGAAACCAGAAATAACCTTAATGATAGTAAAAATAACTAAAATTCTGATGACAGGCATGTCACTGGGCATCCAAAAGCAGTCACACAAAATCTGAAAATTCATAACATGATATAACACTGCACAATAAATTGTACTACAGTAGTATCCCTATTATTGAATATTCTATTAATGAAATTTTGAACAGGTTCATAATACAGTAAGCAGTACTTTGTTTAATTTGAATTTCAGGTCATAATAAGCTTTTTTTTTAAAGGAAGGTGTCCAAACTTTTATTAATAATTATAAAACAATAATTACTTGAATTTTGTATAATTTCACTTGCATAACTTTCATTCTTTAAAATTTAAATACTAAGAAAGAGTAGAATTCAGCATCTTCAGAATGGTGTATGGCAATGGAAGTCTGAAATCATAGCAATTGTCTGCATTTCTGCTAGACATGAATTTTCCAGTCTTTGACATATTGTATCAATCAAAGCTGACATCTGTGGAGTGAATATGATACAAAAAATTAAGTAAACTAAATTTCCCATGGTTAATCTGCAAAGTGGCTTCATCACATACAGATAATTGTGAGTCTACAGTATATATTTTAATAAAATTTTGAAACACAGAACTTTTTAACAGGTTACACCAGGGCCAAGTGACAATGGTTGTCAAGAGTAACACCCAGATATAACCACTGCCATACCTCACTTATGGGGTGAGTTGTTGGATACTTGGTGATGTAAGTATAGAAGAGGGCTCGAAGAGGTATGAGAGCAGCCAACATACGGATACGAATGTGTATGGCACCAAGTATCAGGTCACTCATACCAACTGCTGGCAGTGGGATCTCAAATTTATGCTCCCTTTTCCTCCATTTTACGAATCTCTGCTGTAGCCAAGTGAACCGGTGAGCTAGAAATCTGCACAGACCGTATGCCTGGCAACTATAGAGTTCTCCCAGTTCCAGGCATTTCTGCATACTGGCCATTTCCTCCACCAGTCTAAACACACAGACAAACATTTCAATTTTCAATGGCAAATATAGCAACATTCTTCTTATGTTTCCACAGAGTGAAATAAAAATAATTCTCAGTCCATTTCTCTTCAAAAGCTCAGCGTTTCCTTCTAGTCTCCATGAATTCATTTTCTTTTATCCACATATTTTCTTTGTGCAATGAAATATTTTCACATACAACACACACCAATTAGTACACTCTAGCCTTGGGAGGTGTTAGTATCGAAGGCAGCTCTGACAGCACAGCGTACAAGAACAAACTGTATTCATAAGATCAAAGCATGTAAACAAGTAAAGAAATACAGAACTATTAGGCCTATTTTGGACTCTATCCATTGTCTGGTATATATAAGACAAAAAAGCACAACTTTTGGAGACTGGATCTGTCTCCGTCCTCAGGTGGGTGGGGTAAGATAGCCCTACTCAGTTGGGCCCATTAGAAAGAGCTAGTCTCAATCACTGGACCAACTCCAAGACTAGCTCTTTGTAACAGGCCCAACTGAGTAGGTCTATCCTGCCCCATCCACCTGAGGACGGAGACAGATCCAGTCTCCAAAAGTTGTGCTTTTTTGTCTTATATATACCAGACGATGGATAGAGTACAAAATAAGCCTAATAGTTCTGTACAGCATATACCATCGTCAAAATTCTTTCAAGTCTATTAAGTAAAGAAGTATACAGCACAAACTGGAAACTGAGAATTGATCCTACATGATGAGTATATGAAGGTTATTACATTAAAAATCTGTTCAAGGATTGTTCTGGATGAAGTCATAAAGACTGTTAACCCTTTACCATCTACAGGTGCAATGGGTGCACCATTCAAATTGTAATGTGTATAACTAGGCAACAGTGCAATAAATGAATCCTCGTGTAAGCACACTCAACAATAGGACAAATGTTTATAGCTCGTAACAATCAGTGTTCCAATGGGCTGGTAAGATAGCTATCAAGTTATGGCTTTCTATGGGGTCCATGCTGCGACTGTTACTATGCAATGCTTCAGTAAACATGTTTCAAACAACAGAGACCTGTTTTTTCTGCATGGTCAGTGTGGAGGCTATGTAACAGCAGTTACAAATACAAAAGGTTTCAGTTTTTAAATGAGAGTGTCAAAGTGGAGAGTCCAGGAAGGTTCAGCATTTGAGAGTAATAGGACGAGAACAGAGCGTATGATTTGAAGACTTTAATTATGTGTAATAATTGGAGTGTGTGACTTAGTGAGATTGTGATAGTTTCTGTGTCGAGGTCCATTGCCAGGAGACGACTAGTGAAGATGGAGAATCCTAGTGCGTGTGTAACAGTGAAATGGAAAGTGTGTAAATCAGCGATGGGGATGTATTTCCTATGTTTAAGTGTGAGTAAGAGAGATTGTAACCAAAGTGCCAATAAATCCAATCATCCGAACTAGAACTCGTCATTTCATCATGCGTACCACCCTACACATGACAATATTGTGGCATATAGACCCATTGCTAGGCAGTGGCCCATGCCCAACAGTGGAAGTATTGTTGGAAGCAGTGTCTTCTATGTGGTCCACTCTGAGGCTATATCACATGAGAGACCAAGCTCAGTTCAGTTAATGAGTGCAGTGGAGTGAAGTCAGTTGGTTAGTGACCAGTCAGTCAGAGTTCAATCATTCTGAGCTGCTGCGGTTAGAAGCTGGTAGCTGAGGCATGGGGACAGATCAGGAACCCAGACTAAGAGTAATATCTACCATTGGAAGCCATTATGGGGCAACAACTGGTGAAGACATAGCAGACTGAGAAGACCTAGTATGTGCTACAGTGAACTCCTGAGTGCATGAATTAGTGACAGCACTCTAGTTACTTGTAGTTACAATCTGTTAAGTCTTCAATAAAATGAATTACCAATCCAAACCCCATCTATAGTTAACTCATACACATGACAATATTCTGCCCGTTCTGGTCGTATGGGGCACTCAGTACACCATAACCATTTCAAGCTTATGGTGGCTCACAATGATGAAGCTTACACAGCCTGAGCTACAGGACTTACAGTTAATATTCTATATAGCTGACAGATGGAGTTCAGTGTTCAAATGCCTGTTCAGAACCACAGGAAACTGTTTTATTCCATCATGTATAAAGAACATAGAACAAAGATGGCATCTACAAGTGGTCTTCACACTTTCTGAACCAGTTTTCAGGTGAAGAAATAGAACATTTTTTGTTTCATTATGGTCCGTCACACTAACAATATTACAAAGGTTAATTAATTCTGTCCAGTGTGACTGATGTTTTTTTTTTCTTTTTTATCTTCATCCTTTACATGTTTTGGTCCTATAGATCATCATCAGAAAATTAGAAACCACTATTACAATATGTCTTTTGAATATTAATATGTACATATTGTCATCATAATACAATGTATAATCTAATGTTTTTTAACAACTACAGTGGCCCTTACCAACACATTAGAATATTTATTACAGTTAGTATGTTTAAAAATGTTAATTTTTTTTTCAACCAAACTGGTTCATGTCCCTTCTATTTCCTCTCCCCGAAGGAAGCCAAGCGTCCACTGCCCCGCGGTTCCATTGTTTGGAGAATAGATTTCTTCAGTGTCGTTTTGTTGATGTTCGAGGCACACTGTGTTCTGATACTGTTCTAATACTGTACAGTTGGTACAAGCCGCTCTAGTTGTTAAAAACATTAGATTTATACATTGTATGTACATATTAATATTAAAAAAAACATATTGTAATAGTGGTTTATAATTGTACTGATATCCTTCTGATGATGGTCTATAGGACTGAAACATGTAAAGGATAAAAGATTAAAAAGGAAAAACCATCAGTCACACTAGACAGAATTAATTAACCTTTGTAAGAATATTTTTGGATAAATGTGTCAGTGACATTGATGTTAGTAATGTTTCATGAAACTGAACACAGATATGGAGAAGTGACAGCAGCAGCATGGAGTAGAAAGACAGCCGTAACAAGTAGACAAGAGAATTCTGACCAGATAAATTACCTAACAACGCATTCTAAATTCTGAACATTTTCCTTATACATTGTACACATGAACCACTTGAAGAAATTTTGAATAAAACATAAAGGTATGCCAGACAGAATACAAAATATGCCACTTGTTCCAACATACTCTGTCTGGAATTCTTACAAAGATGTCACCATGGAAGAACAGAACATTTTCTTGGGAGTGCTCATGAAAATGGCTCTTGTGCAACTCCAGAATGCATACCCTTAGTGAAATTGGAAACTTCACAAATTATCGATAAAAATACATGTTTCTGAAACGTAAGTATTTTAAGAAGGACTAATCTTATGTTCAGAGTCATCTCATACTTGGCATGCCTAGTATATATATCATAACAATTTTATGGACTATAACTATGGATGGAGTCTGGACTGGTAATAGGATTAACTGAACACTTATACATATAACTCATATAACTACAAGTCACTGTGGCGCTACTGCTAATTCACTACAGCGCACAATTCATCTCACCCTGCTGAGTCTTCACCAGTTTTCTGGTAATGGTTTCCCTACAGTAGATGTTAACCTAACCTAACTAAACCAAACCAAACCAAACTACTCTACTTCTGGGCTGGCAGCCGTCTCACACCAACCTCCTACTCTTCTCACTGCTGTCTCAAGATTCTCTTCTCACGGCAGATGGCCCTCATTACAGAGCCTTGGCATGAACCACACAGAGAACACTACTTCCAACAGGTCTTCTATTGTTGCATGCATACCTGCTGTGGGCCATTATTTACAGAGCCATTATCTAGCAACAGTTGTTGCTTGAAACAGGTCTGCACGCCAAAGTATGTATGTATGTATGTAAGCATAAATGTACTGTCTGTATTTAGTCCTGGGCATTCTCAACAGAACCTACAGTTCAAGTGAGACATGGAACACAGGAAAAGTATGGGTTATTCAGGGACTTAATTACAGTCTGTATCCTGCCTTCCTCCATCCCATAGAGAGGCTGCAACCACTGACCCACTCATCCTTACACAATCCATTGGCCAACACAAAAAGGATGGCTAGCCTGTCCACGTGCATGTGTGCATGAAGTATGATTAGGGTACACCATAACTTGCACAGGCAAGCCTACAGAAGTCCCATTTCAATATTTTCTTGATTTTACATTGTCATATGAATGCCAGAAATGCATTTAAAATAGTGTCACGTGTTGGGTATGTCACGCGACAAATAACTTCACGTGGGTCTTGGATTCAGTGAATCTTTTATTGGATCCTCGCTCTTACACACCTTACAACTATTATCACTTGCAGTATCGCCTGACTTCTGGCCCGATACTCTAATGCGACGTCTCAACTATCCTTGGCCGTGGTTGGATCTCAAATGTCTCTGGCAGCGGCTATCCCAAGACTGTCTCATCCTCAATACTCAATGTCATCTCTGGCTCTGCTTATATAGGGGTTATGCGGACCGGATACCAGACATCATTTCTTGCGGTTCTGTTACCACTGTTCAGGCAGTCTGTTGTTATGGGAACGTTCCTTATAGATTACGCCGGTAACATGTTCATCTCCTCTGTTGTTACTCAATGACAATCCGTTGCTATGATATGTCGCTGCGGGAACTCCACAATTTCCACATATTCATTGTCGTGGAAGTGTCCGTTCCAATTGTAGCGGTTGTCGCAGTGATGGACGTAAGGTAACGCGTCACAATATGATGTAGTAGCTTCCTAGTTATTATGTGACAATGATGAACCCCTGTTCCCACAGTGGATCAAGTATATATAGGATTAGGCATGCACAAAAGAGGCATATGGCACTATGTAAATGGGAATGGATGGAAGACACAGGTGGCATCCCTAATTTTATAGTGAAACTTTTGATTCAATATCATGTCCTATATGTGTACAAACACAAGCTATGATTAAAGATTATTGTAAATAATGGGGTTTGCTGCGGAACTGCAATAAATTTCCTGAGCCTCATTTATTTGTCCTTATGGTAGTACCTGTGCTCCAGTATATCATACTGTGGAAAGAGTTCGACTGGCATTGTGATATTTTTCTTGGCAAACGATTGTGTTAATACAAACTGTTGGTCAGACACCAGCTGAAGTAACTGTATTCGCTTGTTCTCCAGATATCTGAGCCAATTAATGTAATCTGACAGTCTCGGCATCTCTTCCAAATAGGGAACTTTTACAGCTGAAACAAGTCAAACACATGCACATTTACATCCAGCTGTGTTCAGTCCAGTGCCAATAAAGGAGACCAACAACACCTCAGACCACTTGAATTAATAAAGCAATACAGAACACACACTAAACAGCAGAGCTGAGTGGGCAGAACTTCTGCCCCACATCCAGGAGACCTAGGCTCAAAGGCTCCAATATACAAGGAGTATAAAAAGTAAACTAACATACACAAACAATAAACATAACAAATAATATATAATTCTTACATACTGCAGATAACACGCATGTCATAGTATTACATTGACATCTATATGAGCTGCATAAGCACAATGGCAAACATCTATCAAAACTCATAAAAGTAATAACAACAAAAGCACAACACATTTACACATTACAGAAAACACCCACACCATGACAAAAGAATGTAGCAAAACGAGATCCTACAGCTGCAAATGTACTCTCAGATAAATATATTTCAATAGCTGGTGACTACAATGAAAAATAACATTTAAGAAGTTTTAACTGTACTTTTTTTTAATTTTAATCTAAATTTTTAAAAATATTTTTAATTAAAAACAAAATC